AAAAATCTTAACCGTAATACCTTGTCTGTCGTTTTTAATGAAACATGCATATATATATATATATATATATATATATATATATATATATATATATATATATATATATATATATATATATATATATATATATATATATAGCAAGTAAATATATATATATATACAATCATTTATTCGAAAATTATAGCAAAAATGTTATAAAATCACTACAAAAATAGGCATTTTGTTTCAACAACCTCTGTGTCTTTTCAAGTGATGGTTTTGAATGTAGAATAAACGGTTTTAATTTTCGAATAAATAATTATATTTGCTCTACTCTGTACTGAGCACTCTTTTAAGAATAGTATTTGTTGGAATTTATTCCGTATACACCAATCCTATACTTGTGTATATATATGTATATATATATATATATATATATATAGTGTGCGATGGAGAAATTACTCAAAAATGAAGATCACATTGACATCTCATTTTAACAGATATGTTTACCAGAGAGAGAGAGAGAGAGAGAGAGAGAGAGAGAGAGAGAGGGAGAGAGAGTGAGAAGGAGAGAGAGAGAGAGAGATGGAAATTGTTATGTGTGTAGTTTTATATATTTTATGACTTGGATTGTAATATTTTCCTTATTTGAATGTTACTTCCCATGAATTAATTTTAAACTGTGTGAAGAGGGAAACCTTTTCATGAAATGAAAAAAAAAAAATCTCTTAGAGTCATTGGAAAAGAATGGAATCAGTTATCAAAATTATAGTTTTAGAAACTTTTGCAACGAATGCCAAAAATTTGTGCTTCAGTAATCAAGACTAAAAAAAGGTAGTTTGATGAGAGCAAAATTCAATCATAATTTTTTTTTCTTTTTGTCATAATAAAATTTCTAATAAAAAAGTCGTCTCACTCTTTTTATTAACCATGTATAATAATTTCCTCTTATTTAAAGTACAAAACAACTAATTTTTTCAGTATCTGTCTATATTTCTGAGATGAGGTATTATGTACACTATTTACATTATTCGGGCTATTTTCCTCATCTTTGTTGTCATATTGTTGTCATATTTATTACAACGTTTCCTCAAGGACACATGGCACAGTGGATAAAGGCGTTGGTTAGATCCAGTGACTTCAATGTTCACTTTTATATTTAACATACGCTCTGACATTGAGCACTTTATCCCATAAATATAGCACACCATAAAACTATATTTCTTCATATATATATATATATATATATATATATATATATATATATATACTGATACTGATATACATTAAACTCGTAAGCACACATTGATAGGTTGGCAGGAATTGATGGTTATATTCTCTTTTCACTCAACCTCAGCGCACGAATACAATCTACTGATATAGTGAAGAGGTGAAGGAGAATAGCATTCTCAGTAATAAAGTTGTGATCGACATACGCAGCGAAAGAGAGTGCGAATAAACGGACAATATTACACACTGGATTTTGTTCAGACTTTTCTGGCAAAACGACACAAGGTGGCGCCACTGATGGCATCGACTATAAAGGAAGCTTTTGGAAAATGGCCGGCGCCAACACGACTTTATCTCGGGCCAAGGTCTACTGGCAACACTGCAGTCTGTGTATGCCATCGGGACGAAGCAAGTAGCCAGCCAAAAGCTGGAAGCTGAGGGACTAAGTGACGGCAGTAGTTGTTAGTAAATAAAGGTCTTGGATAGCGTTTAAAAGAAAGAAAGAATAGAAAATTAAAAGAAACAAAGAAGAAGGGATTGAGAAATAAAAAAAAAATGAAATAGATAATTAAAGCATAGGACACAAAGAAAGAAAGAAAGAAAGAAAGAATGGAAAAGAGAGAAAAAGAAGAATAAAAAAGCACAGATTAAAAAGACAGAAAGAATAGAGAAAAAGGAAAGAAAGTTAACACGTGTCCAAAAGAAAGAAAGAAAGAAAGAAAGAAAGAAAGAAAGAAAGAAGCAAATAGAAAGAAAGAAAGAAGAATAGCGAAAAAAACGAAAGAAGGAAAAAAGTTAAAAATAACGGAAGAGAAAGGAAAGAATAGCGTTCAGGAGAAAGTGTGTGTGTGTGTGTGTGTGTGTGTGTGTGTGTGAAGAAAGAGAGATTGAGAGAGAGAGTGTGTGTGTGTGGTGTGTGTGCGTGAAAGAAAGAAAGAAAGAAAGAAAGAAAAGGAATAACATAAATGGAATAATAAGGAAAAAGAAAAAAGTAGTGAAAATGAAAGACAAAAAAAAACGTCTAATAAAAATGAAAGAAAAAAAAGATTAACGAGAAAGAAAAGGACAACAAAGGAAAAAGAAAGAAAAAGAAAGAAAGAAAGGAAAAAGAAAGAAAGACGAAGAAATATGAGAATAATAAAACAAAATTAAGATGGGGGTGTGCGTGGTAAGGATAATGAGTAATGAATGCGACCACAGTGAATATCGCCCCACTGACCCTTGGAGAGTGGTTCCGATGACCAGCTTCTAAATTAGGTAAGGATAGAAACGAAAGGTTGTCAGCTAGTTCGGTTGCTGGCCTCTCTAATCGAGGGTCCCGGATGAGAAGGGTCGTCGAGTAAGTAGTGGCTGTTAACCAATTGAGCACACTCCTTAAGTATTTCAATATTGACTCATACAACTTGGCGTGTAAGCCAGTAGTTTCGTATATTGCCAACAGACTAGTCTAATCAATTGAAACGACCAAGCAGGGTCCTGTTAAATATAACACAAGCACACGCGCGCGCGCACACACACACACACATATATATATTATATATATATATTACGTACCTCCAAAAAAGCGATACTTCAGGTTTAAAATGTATTTTAAAAATGAAAAATATTTCTTAATTTCTTGAAGTTTGATTTTAGTTTTAATTCCAGGCTAATAGATTAAATTTAATATTCCCAATATGGAAAATACATTGCTGCATTTGAAACCGAATTGATTGGAAAGATATTTTCTTAAATCGCTGAAATTGATAAAGTCGCCCATATTGACAAATCTGACAATACAACATAGTTAGCTTTATTAAAAAAATTTCGAAAATAAAATGCCCTTTTCTGAAACTTTATTTGAGGAAGATTAGCTGATTTAAAGTTTGATTAATCTGAATTAAAGGAAATATTATTTACTTTTAGTTTAAAAATATCATTTATTTTTTTTTTTAATACGGAAGAGTGTTTTTATGAGGTGTTGAAAACTCTTTCGCAAAACTTGTTTGAGAGTTTTTCTACGGGGATATATAGTTGTGACAATTACTTGACGAATATAACGTGACGTCTGTTTTTCTATATTTTTTTTAACTGCCTCGTAATTTTAAAAATTTAGAAAAATATCCTAAGTAATCTAATATTTTACAGAATTTTAGTTACTCTGACTTTATAGTCTTACTTACGAAGCCACTTGTTGAGGAAATGTTACGAAATTACCAATAAATTTTAAATTTAATTCAGTAATCGCTCGTATTTTCTATTAAAGTCATACATGGACGTCTATATTTACAGAAACTGATACGTTTATACACACAGAAAAATTCTAAATACTTTTTTAAAATACCCGGGGGTCGCTGAATTGCAGTAAGCTTTTCCATTTATGATTAGTAAGTATAGTTTTTAATTAGTACTGAAACTACAAATTTGCCATGATTTTCCTCGAACGTTCATAACTGCTCGAAGCGTATTTTAATGTAAACAAATGATGTCATATGGACGAAGTCCGAAAATTATTTTTAATATATTTTATTGTTACACGTTATTTATATAGACGCAAATATTTAAGTAAATGCTCTGATTATAATAAACAGTATTAACAACATTTATTTTGCGTAAATGTCCGAGAAATTTCATAGAAAATATGCGTCCTCCATAGTTTAAAAGGAGTAAATCCTTTGCTAATCCGACAAATCCTTCGTAGCTAAAATGGGAGAGCAAGTCATGCTATATGACGGTTCCATGTGGAGATAAAGGTTCGATTATTGTCGGAGGATGTCGTTCGTACTGTTTATTATAAACAGATCATTTACTTAATCTTTTGTGTCTATATAAATAACGTATAACAATAAAATAATTGTCGGTCTTAGTCCATTTTTTTTTTTATATATATATATATATATATATATATATATATATATATGTTAAGAACAATTTTTGAGGAAAGATGTATGATAAAGTAGTAAAACTTTTGTGTAACGCGTTTCGTCCGGTAGGACTTCATTGGACGAGGTTTGTTAATGTTGATGCCACTACGCATGCGCCCGAACGTGAGAGACGCTGAGAATTTAAATAAAAATAATTTTTTTTGAAAGTTAAACATTTTTTTTTAGTTTAAAAAATAGCCTAGGAGAAGGAAAACTCTGAACTTAAAACCAGTATGAAGAAGGATGGGCTCCGTCAGGTTATATTGCTCTAGACAAACAGCTGCAATACATGTTTGTGTTCCTACGACTCTATTGCGTTACGGATTCTTGAGAGGACGAAAATTTTTGAAAAAAAAAAAATCATTTTTCTTCATGAGACAGTCGACCACACTTTCCTTTTCTGTGAATTATTATGACTTTGAGAAAGACAGTGGAGTTGTTTCTCCCTGGTTTTTTCACAGGTTGCTATTTATAGTCGTCTTTCTCCGAAGGTTAGAGAACTTTGTTATTCGACACATAACTGAATGGAGAAGAGATAATTTCCTTTCCACAACTGCAGTCCTGTGGAACTTTCCTTAGCCTTACAGTAATAGCAACTCCAGAAACTACGCTTTTTGTTTTAATCTTTGTACAGCGTTTGTTATTTTCCCAGAAATAAAAGAGCGTTTTCCTCGATTTTCACTTTTAACGTAAAAACATTTAAAACTCACAATCGACACACGAATCAGATAGAAAAACACATAAAAAAACCCCCTTTTCAGAATATGCATCTATGTCACAAATTTCGGTCACCTGTGAAACAAAATCACGTGTTTAAACACCGCCTATTTGAAAACGTTACAAGATCCTATGTTTTTGCCCCAATAACTTTTCTAATGTCATCTATTT